ATAGTTATATTTTCTTTAAATCTTTTCACGCTTGCTAATAATATAGTGTAGCTGTAAGTGCTTTAATGTTTAAAACCCTTGACATCGACTGCGACCATAACAGAGGCCACAACATCTTGGTCTTCATATATTCAATTTAACATCGTTGTTTAAATTTATCCAGAAATACAAAGTCATTAACCAATCCTTATCAGGGTCATATGCCAATTATATAAATATTTTGAGATTACTTATTTCGATTATTTCAGTAATTCGATTTTTCGGGGTTTGGGCCGCAACAATAACAGTATAATTGAAGTTTGAGCTTGAAAATTAAAATTTCATTGATTTAAAATTAAATTAATAAAGATACATGTAACTTTATATTAAGATATAAATCGGGCTAGATGAAATTTAATGGTGATTTTATAATTATACCAAGATCGTTCTAGAAATGTGTTGACAATCGCATGGCTATTACTAATATGTTCGAGGTTATTTTACACAAACACGAAACAATATTTGCTTAGTTATGATCTGCATGCACGTTGATTTGAGAATTTATTTTCGTTTAACAATGCCCATATAGACAGAAGATGAAATAAGCAACATGGAGCACGATCTAGATAAAATGGAAGAGATGATTGGAGCTACTATTCCCGCTCAAAAATTGGCAGAGACTCGTCTGGAACGGCGCACATACCGACCGATTGGAGAGCTCTGCTGCGACGCTGCTCAACATGGCTTGATAAACGAGAAGAATCAGATTGAGACAACCCGCGGGGCTCTTTTAGAGAAACAGGCTCAAATGAGGTAAATACGGGTAATATCAAGGCATCCTATTTTATTTTAAAAAATTAAAATGGAATCGCTACTATTTGTATATTTTTATAGGCGTCAACGAGATAAGAGTATAACGCAAGCCGCTATTCTACTAATTTTACATGTATACTTAATGTTATTTCCGGGATCACATATTTTGTGAAATTGCAAAAGTACTTCATTTACCATGTGCTTTTACAATATGATATTTGGGTATCTTGTAAGAGTATAAAGTCAAAGCACTTCAACAAATTCACTAAACTAACTGTAAAATTGGATTGAAGTGTGTGTATGCAACTATTTGAACTTGCCTGTAAAGTTCGCCTTAAATTCAATAGAAGGCAACTTTTATTATTTGCTGATCATCAACAATATTCCTTGAAAACTCAAAATTCAATAGATTATTTTAGCTTCCTGGCTTTATGGCTTCCAGAGATTAATCCTCTTTCACGTTATTTTTAAAACAAATGGTGTTTATTCAGCGTAATATTGCAGATTAATTGCGGTATTTTGAAGCGATGGATAAATAATTTTCTGATGCTAACGAAATGGTTACTTGATTACTTAAGAGTACAATCAGTTTGCAAAGGTAAATTTTTTTCTAGAGTTATAATTACTTATGCAGCGGCCTATAAACTTAAGAAGGTTAAAAAATGTAGTTCTTTAGGAAAGAAAAAGTTTCATGACGAGACTCCAACATTTCTCGCGTACTATGTTATGCCTCTTTTTACATAGGGAATGCAGATTTTGTAAGCGCATCATTCGTATAAGTCCTTAGCATTATTAATCTGACTAAGGTAATCACATTTTGCTACACTTTATTATTCCTCTTTTATGGATTTATATGATTTTTGTTGTTTAATCTGGGTATCGATAAAAGTTTGAGTCAGCCAAGCTAACCTTTTTGCCCAATATGGATAAAATTTTCAAATTTACACATTAATCTGTACTCGTTTAATGATATATTCTACAGCATAGCCAAGAGCATACTTGGCAAATATTTTTTGCCTCGTTTTATGCTTTATAAGTCTAATCGTCTCCTACATATTCTTGCTAAATCGCCTTACATTTACTTATTTTTATTAGGCATGCTCTGAATGATCTCTACAAGCAACTGAAGCATATCAAAGACGACCTGCGTGACAAATATAGTAGCCTTCAGTTAGAAACCCGCTGCCTAGATCTGCGTGGTTGCCACATGCACGAGGAGGGCTTGAAAGAAGGTGACAATGAAGCAGAGGCTATACCTAGTAACTTTCACGAACCAGGAGATGCCGAAACCACAACCTCCTCAGGAATAGGTGATAGGATCTCGGCACTCACAAACTTCTCCGCTATCCGTTTATAAAAATTTGTTCTTCACTAAGAAACTTTACTTCTATCAACAAGCAGGCTTCCGGCGCTTTACGTTAAACCATTGAGGCACATAACAATTTTTAGTATAATTGTATAAGCCCCTGTTTTATTCACTTTTATTTGAGGAAAATTAGAATCCTTCTACCACTCTTCACAGCCACCATAAAATTTTCACAGACTTTTAAACTGCCAATTTGTATGGACTATCTATACACTACTTGTTGACTCTCGCAAAGTGAGTGTATTAGGATACACTTAAGATTATATCATGCTAATTTTATTTTTACTGTGAAAGAGGATACTGTTAGTAAACTAAGTGTTTATCAAAATATTATTTTTTCATCTAATTAGCTAAAATCTGACTATATTGGAATAAAGTTTGCAAGGGTCTTCTTTAAATTTAAATGAAGCCATATTATTTGATAGCCAGTTAGTATATAACTTTATTTACCATCATTAAAGGCCATCAAAAATAGACTAAATTGTGACAGAAAAATTTTCTTACAAATAAAGTATAATTGAATAT